CATGTGTGTATGTGCATATGTGTGTACATGTGTGTATGTGCATGTGTGTGTGTACATGTGTGTATGTGCATGTGTGTGTGTACATGTGTGTATGTGCATGTGTGTGTGTACATGTGTGTATGTGCATGTGTGTGTGTACATGTGTGTATGTGCATATGTGTGTGTACATGTGTGTATGTGCATGTGTATGTGCATGTGTATGTGCATGTGTGTGTGCATGTGTATGTGCATGTGTGTGTGCATGTGTGTATGTGCATGTGTATGTGCATGTGTATGTGCATGTGTATGTGCATGTGTGTGTGCATGTGTATGTGCATGTGTGTGTGCATGTGTATGTGCATGTGTGTGTGCATGTGTATGTGCATGTGTGTGTGCATGTGTATGTGCATGTGTGTGTGCATGTGTGTATGTGCATGTGTGTGTGTACATGTGTGTATGTGCATGTGTGTGTGTACATGTGTGTATGTGCATGTGTGTGTGTACATGTGTGTATGTGCATGTGTGTGTGTACATGTGTGTATGTGCATGTGTGTGTGTACATGTGTGTATGTGCATGTGTATGTGCATGTGTATGTGCATGTGTGTGTGCATGTGTATGTGCATGTGTGTGTGCATGTGTGTATGTGCATGTGTATGTGCATGTGTATGTGCATGTGTATGTGCATGTGTGTGTGCATGTGTATGTGCATGTGTGTGTGCATGTGTATGTGCATGTGTGTGTGCATGTGTATGTGCATGTGTGTGTGCATGTGTATGTGCATGTGTGTGTGCATGTGTATGTGCATGTGTGTGTGCATGTGTGTATGTGCATGTGTGTGTGCATGTGTATGTGCATGTGTGTGTGCATGTGTGTATGTGCATGTGTGTGTGCATGTGTATGTGCATGTGTGTGTGCATGTGTGTATGTGCATGTGTGTGTGCATGTGTGTATGTGCATGTGTGTGTGCATGTGTATGTGCATGTGTGTGTGCATGTGTATGTGCATGTGTGTGTGCATGTGTATGTGCATGTGTGTGTGCATGTGTGTATGTGCATGTGTGTTTGCATGTGTATGTGCATGTGTGTGTGCATGTGTGTATGTGCATGTGTGTGTGCATGTGTATGTGCATGTGTGTGTGCATGTGTGTATGTGCATGTGTGTGTGCATGTGTATGTGCATGTGTGTGTGCATGTGTATGTGCATGTGTGTGTGCATGTGTATGTGCATGTGTGTGTGCATGTGTGTATGTGCATGTGTGTGTGTACATGTGTGTATGTGCATGTGTGTGTGTACATGTGTGTATGTGCATGTGTGTGTGTACATGTGTGTATGTGCATGTGTGTGTGTACATGTGTGTATGTGCATGTGTGTGTGTACATGTGTGTATGTGCATGTGTATGTGCATGTGTATGTGCATGTGTGTGTGCATGTGTATGTGCATGTGTGTGTGCATGTGTGTATGTGCATGTGTATGTGCATGTGTATGTGCATGTGTATGTGCATGTGTGTGTGCATGTGTATGTGCATGTGTGTGTGCATGTGTATGTGCATGTGTGTGTGCATGTGTATGTGCATGTGTGTGTGCATGTGTATGTGCATGTGTGTGTGCATGTGTGTATGTGCATGTGTGTGTGTACATGTGTGTATGTGCATGTGTGTGTGTACATGTGTGTATGTGCATGTGTGTGTGTACATGTGTGTATGTGCATGTGTGTGTGTACATGTGTGTGTGTACATGTGTGTGTGTGCATGTGTGTGTGTACATGTGTATGTGCATGTGTATGTGCATGTGTGTGTGCATGTGTGTGTGCATGTGTATGTGCATGTGTGTATGTGCATGTGTATGTGCATGTGTATGTGCATGTGTGTATGTGCATGTGTGTGTGCATGTGTGTGTGCATGTGTGTGTGCATGTGTATGTGCATGTGTGTGTGCATGTGTGTGTGCATGTGTGTGTGCATGTGTGTGTGCATGTGTGTGTGCATGTGTGTGTGTACATGTGTGTATGTGCATGTGTGTGTGTGCATGTGTGTGTGTGCATGTGTGTGTGTGCATGTGTGTATGTGCATGTGTGTATGTGCATGTGTGTATGTGCATGTGTATGTGCATGTGTGTATGTGCATGTGTGTATGTGCATGTGTGTATGTGCATGTGTGTATGTGCATGTGTGTATGTGCATGTGTGTATGTGCATGTGTGTATGTGCATGTGTGTATGTGCATGTGTGTATGTGCATGTGTGTATGTGCATGTGTGTATGTGCATGTGTGTATGTGCATGTGTGTATGTGCATGTGTGTATGTGCATGTGTGTATGTGCATGTGTGTATGTGCATGTGTGTATGTGCATGTGTGTATGTGCATGTGTGTATGTGCATGTGTGTATGTGCATGTGTGTATGTGCATGTGTGTATGTGCATGTGTGTATGTGCATGTGTGTATGTGCATGTGTGTATGTGCATGTGTGTATGTGCATGTGTGTATGTGCATGTGTGTATGTGCATGTGTGTATGTGCATGTGTGTATGTGCATGTGTGTATGTGCATGTGTGTATGTGCATGTGTGTATGTGCATGTGTGTATGTGCATGTGTGTATGTGCATGTGTGTATGTGCATGTGTGTATGTGCATGTGTGTATGTGCATGTGTGTATGTGCATGTGTGTATGTGCATGTGTGTATGTGCATGTGTGTATGTGCATGTGTGTATGTGCATGTGTGTATGTGCATGTGTGTATGTGCATGTGTGTATGTGCATGTGTGTATGTGCATGTGTGTATGTGCATGTGTGTATGTGCATGTGTGTATGTGCATGTGTGTATGTGCATGTGTGTATGTGCATGTGTGTATGTGCATGTGTGTATGTGCATGTGTGTATGTGCATGTGTGTATGTGCATGTGTGTATGTGCATGTGTGTATGTGCATGTGTGTATGTGCATGTGTGTATGTGCATGTGTGTATGTGCATGTGTGTATGTGCATGTGTGTATGTGCATGTGTGTATGTGCATGTGTGTATGTGCATGTGTGTATGTGCATGTGTGTATGTGTATGTGCATGTGCATGTGTGTATGTGCATGTGTGTATGTGCATGTGTGTATGTGCATGTGTGTATGTGCATGTGTGTATGTGCATGTGTGTATGTGCATGTGTGTATGTGCATGTGTGTATGTGCATGTGTGTATGTGCATGTGTGTATGTGCATGTGTGTATGTGCATGTGTGTATGTGCATGTGTGTATGTGCATGTGTGTATGTGCATGTGTGTATGTGCATGTGTGTATGTGCATGTGTGTATGTGCATGTGTGTATGTGCATGTGTGTATGTGCATGTGTGTATGTGCATGTGTGTATGTGCATGTGTGTATGTGCATGTGTGTATGTGCATGTGTGTATGTGCATGTGTGTATGTGCATGTGTGTATGTGCATGTGTGTATGTGCATGTGTGTATGTGCATGTGTGTATGTGCATGTGTGTATGTGCATGTGTGTATGTGCATGTGTGTATGTGCATGTGTGTATGTGCATGTGTGTATGTGCATGTGTGTATGTGCATGTGTGTATGTGCATGTGTGTATGTGCATGTGTGTATGTGCATGTGTGTATGTGCATGTGTGTATGTGCATGTGTGTATGTGCATGTGTGTATGTGCATGTGTGTATGTGCATGTGTGTATGTGCATGTGTGTATGTGCATGTGTGTATGTGCATGTGTGTATGTGCATGTGTGTATGTGCATGTGTGTATGTGCATGTGTGTATGTGCATGTGTGTATGTGCATGTGCATGTGTGTATGTGCATGTGTGTATGTGCATGTGTGTATGTGCATGTGCATGTGTGTATGTGCATGTGTGTATGTGCATGTGTGTATGTGCATGTGTGTATGTGCATGTGTGTATGTGCATGTGCATGTGTGTATGTGCATGTGCATGTGTGTATGTGAATGTGTGTATGTGCATGTGCATGTGTGTATGTGCATGTGCATGTGTGTATGTGCATGTGCATGTGTGTATGTGCATGTGCATGTGTGTATGTGCATGTGCATGTGTGTATGTGCATGTGCATGTGTGTATGTGCATGTGCATGTGTGTATGTGCATGTGTGTATGTGCATGTGTGTATGTGCATGTGTGTATGTGCATGTGTGTATGTGCATGTGTGTATGTGCATGTGTGTATGTGCATGTGTGTATGTGCATGTGTGTATGTGCATGTGTGTATGTGCATGTGTGTATGTGCATGTGTGTATGTGCATGTGTGTATGTGCATGTGTGTATGTGCATGTGTGTATGTGCATGTGTGTATGTGCATGTGTGTATGTGCATGTGTGTATGTGCATGTGTGTATGTGCATGTGTGTATGTGCATGTGTGTATGTGCATGTGTGTATGTGCATGTGTGTATGTGCATGTGTGTATGTGCATGTGCATGTGTGTATGTGCATGTGTGTATGTGCATGTGTGTGTGTGTATGTGCATGTGTGTATGTGCATGTGTGTATGTGCATGTGTGTATGTGCATGTGTGTATGTGCATGTGTGTATGTGCATGTGCATGTGTGTATGTGCATGTGCATGTGTGTATGTGAATGTGTGTATGTGCATGTGCATGTGTGTATGTGCATGTGCATGTGTGTATGTGCATGTGCATGTGTGTATGTGCATGTGCATGTGTGTATGTGCATGTGCATGTGTGTATGTGCATGTGCATGTGTGTATGTGCATGACTGCCTTCCCTCCCTCTGCTCCGTCTCAGCCTGTCTGGTTGCAACTGGACTTGCTTACCCTGGCACAGGCTGCACAGGTAACACCTCCCTCCCCCACATGCACCTTCACCTGAGGGGCATAGAGAAGTAACGTAGAACAAAGGGAGGCTGCTTGTGTGTTGCCTAGTCATGTACCTGACTTTGATGGATTGGCCAGCAGAATAAGTGCAGACGCAGCATTGCATCATCTCATCTAATGCACCGTGTGAGCGCTGTAGCACTGTGCACCGTGTGTGTTGATGCGCGCGTGCTTCCTTCCGCTGTGCAGCACTGTGGTGCGACACTCACGGCCATTCTCTATGCCGAGCTCTGGTGTGAGGCACACTTTGGACGGCCCACTCTCGGCGAACCAAGCTTCGATGAAGACTCCGACGCGGTAACCACAGGCACACACCTGATGGTCACTGGAACCCCGCGTCTTCTTAATACACAGTTGAAACGGCCATGCTTCTTTGCTCTGGATCTTTGGAGTTTCAATCTTGCCTCGACACCTGTTGTGTTGTGCTCTTTCCCCCACCTTTCCCTCCCCTTACCCTCAATGCGCACTTCCTGCCAATGGTGACTCTCTCCTCTCCCACATCACCTTCTAAGATCCTCCCTCTTCTGCTCTGCTGGCAGGTGGAGCCCCACGAGGCGCTGCTGATGGGGTGCTACAGTGCCGTGAACGAGCTTGATGCCATCTACGCTGTCGCCCGCACCAACAAGGTGCGCGTGGAATGTGAGGCGTGGCGTGGCTTCTGTTTTTGAGGCGACACAATAGTCACCTTGCTACAGCGCTGTGAACGAGCTTGATGCCATCTATGCCGTCGCTCGCACCAACAAGGTGCGCACGCAACGGAGAGAGGGAAGGGGGGAGGGGAGGGGGGGGGGGGGGAACTGCAATGCACTCAGCTCAAATATCGCTGCATAGCATCTGTACCACACTACTCACGCATGACAATGCCCCGAACTGCCCTTAGTGTGTCGGGACGGGCTGGTCTGACTTTCCGTCCTCTTTCTCCCTGCGTGCCCATGCATGCATGCAGCTTCCGTCCCGTCTGGCCATCGACCGCCACGAGGGGCGATGGGAGAAGGTTCTAGAGACGCTGGACCATGCCATGTCCCACCGCCCTGCACCTGCTGGTGCTGCTCTTTCCTCTGGTGCTACTCCTGCAGTGCCCTCGTTACAGTCACAGTCACAGTGGCAGGGGCAGTGGGCGCAGCAGGGAGTGGTGGCAGCACTGCAGCACATGGCATGCTCCCACGTGTTGCAAGCGTACTGCCGCGGTGCCGTCTCAGCACCTTCTGCTGCTGTTGCCACTGATGCTGCCGCTGGGGGTGCTGGTGCTGTTGCCGGTGCTGCTGTGGGCACAGCAGGAGCTGCTGGAGGGGCGGTGCATGGAGCTCTTGGGACAGAAAGAACGGATTTTCTCGAGCTTCAGGTTTGATTTCGTGTCCAAGTTCCCTTTTGTTACCAATGGCATCCACAACATGCCCACCTCTTGCACCGCCCAGCATGTCCCTTCTCCCGCACTCACGCACGTGGTATCATATGGTCAATGAGAAATATTACATGTCTGTGAAGTGAACGTTCACGCTCTCATGTGCCTCTTTCGCCCAGAATTTCTTCTTGGCTTGGCAGCAACGACGCTACAGTCTTATCTCAACTCAACCCGGTCTCTCTGTTCACACCCACACACAATCTCTCTCTCCTGTCTTATCCCTGCTGTTGTTCCGCACCCCTCATCTCATCCCTCTCATCTGCAGTACGAAGCTGCCTGGAAGATGGGCAAGTGGGACCTGCCAGCAGCTCAGCTCCCGGACTCGTCCAACTCGTCACCCTACCCGCCCTCCACCTTGCTCATACTCACAGCCCCACCTGGCAGCAGCAGCACTGCGTCCACCATGCCTGGTGCTGCTTCTGCCTTCCACGCCGCTCTCTACAGGTGTGTTGCAGCCTCCTTTAGAGAGCGGCGCCCCCTTTGTCACACTCACAGCCCCACCAGGCAGCAGCAGCACCACCACTGGTGTGCTGCCGTGCTGCTGACTGCCGTGCTGCTGACTGCCGTGCTGCTGACTGCCGTGCTGCTGACTGCCGTGCTGCTGACTGCCGTGCTGCTGACTGCCGTGCTGCTGACTGCCGTGCTGCTGACTGCCCTGCTGCTGACTGCCGTGCTGCTGACTGCCGTGCTGCTGACTGCCGTGCTGCTGACTGCCGTGCTGCTGACTGCCGTGCTGCTGACTGCCGTGCTGCTGACTGCCCTGCTGCTGACTGCCCTGCTGCTGACTGCCCTGCTGCTGACTGCCCTGCTGCTGACTGCCCTGCTGCTGACTGCCCTGCTGCTGACTGCCCTGCTGCTGACTGCCCTGCTGCTGACTGCCCTGCTGCTGACTGCCCTGCTGCTGACTGCCCTGCTGCTGACTGCCCTGCTGCTGACTGCCCTGCTACTGACTGCCCTGCTGCTGACTGCCCTGCTGCTGACTGCCCTGCTGCTGACTGCCCTGCTGCTGACTGCCCTGCTGCTGACTGCCCTGCTGCTGACTGCCCTGCTGCTGACTGCCCTGCTGCTGACTGCCCTGCTGCTGACTGCCCTGCTGCTGACTGCCCTGCTGCTGACTGCCCTGCTGCTGACTGCCCTGCTGCTGACTGCCCTGCTGCTGACTGCCCTGCTGCTGACTGCCCTGCTGCTGACTGCCCTGCTGCTGACTGCCCTGCTGCTGACTGCCCTGCTGCTGACTGCCCTGCTGCTGACTGCCTGCCGTGCTCCTGATTCCACATGCGTTGGATGCTTTCTTCTTCTTCTTCACTTCTCTCCACCTTCCATTCATCGAATGTCACTCTTCCTAATTTCTCTCTGCTGCAACAAACCATTGTGGCACCCTCCCTAATTTCCCTCTCTCTTTCACCCACCCCTCTCCGTTCATCCCATGCCTCTCCGTTCATCCCATGCCTCTCCGTTCATCCCATGCCTCTCCGTCCATCCCATGCCTCTCCGTTCATCCCATGCCTCTCCGTTCATCCCATGCCTCTCCGTTCATCCCATGCCTCTCCGTTCATCCCATGCCTCTCCGTTCATCCCATGCCTCTCCCTCCCAACCAGGCGCGCCTCCTGAGCCAGGCAGCAGTGCATGTGCAACATCTCAAGGATGCCTGCCGCACCCTCACAGCACGCAGCCACACACCCACCACTGTGCCGCACCTGCCACCAACAAGCAGCGCTGCCACAGCATCGGCAGAGGAGGGGACGTGGGGAGTGGAGGGGGTGGCATTCTGTGGGCGGGTGGAGGAGGCGAAGCTGCTGGCATTGGAAGGGCAGCAGGACATGGCCGTGCGCCTGCTGCAGCACCTGCTGCGCCCAGACCTGCCACCGCACGCTTCCCAGGGGTCTGCTTCACCTTCTGCCGCCTCTGCTGCTGTTACCACTGCTGCTGTTACCACTGTTGCTGCTGCATGTGTACCAGTGTCTGACCGCATCTACACGCTCGGCTTGGCGGCCAAGTGGCTTGGGGAGACGCGCTCTATAAGGTTCGGCTGGATTGGGAGGCTAGAAGCGTGGGAAATGGGATTCATTGCCACTCACAGCTGAGATGAGCATCATAAAGCGGGATTGAATCTTTCCACAATCAAAAGTCGTGTGCATGGATCTTTGAATCTTGATGCTCATGGAGTGAAGTGCACTGTTTGTTCGACAGCTGCCATTGGCCCAAAAATCAATCCTTAATTCTTCTCTCTCTCTAACGTTCGAAGCTGTTGCATTGGTTTCCCTTAACTTTCTGGGGTTCCCGTCGTTCCTTCTCCCCTCTCGCTTCCGTTATCTCATTCTCCTGTCCGACGCCCACCAGCTCGCGGGTGGTACTGAATGACTACCTGTGGCGCGCAGTGGACCTCACAACCCACCCGCCCACTGCCTCACACTCCGCCTCGCCCTCTGCTGCTGCTGCTGCTGCCACTGCACCCCCAAGCTATGCCTCCCTTCCGTTCGCCAATAACTGGCACCAGCAGAAACAGGAGCGGCAGTGGAAGCAGCAGCAGCAGCAGCAAGGGGGATATGGTGGGCAGCAGGGGGGTGAGAGGGAGCAGGGGGGACAGGAGGGGGAGCAAGGCCAGTGGCAGCAGCGGCGGCAGTGGGGAGAGGTGCATTTTCAAATGGCGCGCTACGTGGATGGGCTGTTTGTGGTGCTGCATACTCGCCTGCACTCGCAGCAGTGGCGTGCGGCACAGGATCTGACGACCCACAAGGTGCGTTGAGAGTGAGGCACAAGGTGGGGCGGGAGAGAGGCATGGCGGCACGGGAAGTGCACACAAGACGCACGGCACGGGAAGTGCACACAAGACGCACGGCACGGGAAGTGCACACAAGACGCACGGCACGGGAAGTGCACACAAGACGCACGGCACGGGAAGTGCACACAAGACGCACGGCACGGGAAATGCACACAAGACGCACGGCACGGGAAGTGCACACAAGACGCACGGCACGGGAAGTGCACACAAGACGCACGGCACGGGAAGTGCACACAAGACGCACGGCACGGGAAGTGCACACAAGACGCACGGCACGGGAAGTGCACACAAGACGCACGGCACGGGAAGTGCACACAAGACGCACGGCACGGGAAGTGCACACAAGACGCACGGCACGGGAAGTGCACACAAGACGCACGGCACGGGAAGTGCACACAAGACGCACGGCACGGGAAGTGCACACAAGACGCACGGCACGGGAAGTGCACACAAGACGCACGGCACGGGAAGTGCACACAAGACGCACGGCACGGGAAGTGCACACAAGACGCACGGCACGGGAAGTGCACACAAGACGCACGGCACGGGAAGTGCACACAAGACGCACGGCACGGGAAGTGCACACAAGACGCACGGCACGGGAAGTGCACACAAGACGCACGGCACGGGAAGTGCACACAAGACGCACGGCACGGGAAGTGCACACAAGACGCACGGCACGGGAAGTGCACACAAGACGCACGGCACGGGAAGTGCACACAAGACGCACGGCACGGGAAGTGCACACAAGACGCACGGCACGGGAAGTGCACACAAGACGCACGGCACGGGAAGTGCACACAAGACGCACGGCACGGGAAGTGCACACAAGACGCACGGCACGGGAAGTGCACACAAGACGCACGGCACGGGAAGTGCACACAAGACGCACGGCACGGGAAGTGCACACAAGACGCACGGCACGGGAAGTGCACACAAGACGCACGGCACGGGAAGTGCACACAAGACGCACGGCACGGGAAGTGCACACAAGACGCACGGCACGGGAAGTGCACACAAGACGCACGGCACGGGAAGTGCACACAAGACGCACGGCACGGGAAGTGCACACAAGACGCACGGCACGGGAAGTGCACACAAGACGCACGGCACGGGAAGTGCACACAAGACGCACGGCACGGGAAGTGCACACAAGACGCACGGCACGGGAAGTGCACACAAGACGCACGGCACGGGAAGTGCACACAAGACGCACGGCACGGGAAGTGCACACAAGACGCACGGCACGGGAAGTGCACACAAGACGCACGGCACGGGAAGTGCACACAAGACGCACGGCACGGGAAGTGCACACAAGACGCACGGCACGGGAAGTGCACACAAGACGCACGGCACGGGAAGTGCACACAAGACGCACGGCACGGGAAGTGCACACAAGACGCACGGCACGGGAAGTGCACACAAGACGCACGGCACGGGAAGTGCACACAAGACGCACGGCACGGGAAGTGCACACAAGACGCACGGCACGGGAAGTGCACACAAGACGCACGGCACGGGAAGTGCACACAAGACGCACGGCACGGGAAGTGCACACAAGACGCACGGCACGGGAAGTGCACACAAGACGCACGGCACGGGAAGTGCACACAAGACGCACGGCACGGGAAGTGCACACAAGACGCACGGCACGGGAAGTGCACACAAGACGCACGGCACGGGAAGTGCACACAAGACGCACGGCACGGGAAGTGCACACAAGACGCACGGCACGGGAAGTGCACACAAGACGCACGGCACGGGAAGTGCACACAAGACGCACGGCACGGGAAGTGCACACAAGACGCACGGCACGGGAAGTGCACACAAGACGCACGGCACGGGAAGTGCACACAAGACGCACGGCACGGGAAGTGCACACAAGACGCACGGCACGGGAAGTGCACACAAGACGCACGGCACGGGAAGTGCACACAAGACGCACGGCACGGGAAGTGCACACAAGACGCACGGCACGGGAAGTGCACACAAGACGCACGGCACGGGAAGTGCACACAAGACGCACGGCACGGGAAGTGCACACAAGACGCACGGCACGGGAAGTGCACACAAGACGCACGGCACGGGAAGTGCACACAAGACGCACGGCACGGGAAGTGCACACAAGACGCACGGCACGGGAAGTGCACACAAGACGCACGGCACGGGAAGTGCACACAAGACGCACGGCACGGGAAGTGCACACAAGACGCACGGCACGGGAAGTGCACACAAGACGCACGGCACGGGAAGTGCACACAAGACGCACGGCACGGGAAGTGCACACAAGACGCACGGCACGGGAAGTGTGGAGTTGGGAACATGCGAGTTGCTCTCACCTATTCATCTGCTCACCTCTGTCGTCCCATGTTCTGCTTGACTGCCCTCCACCCCCTCTCTCTCTGCCTTCCTGGCATGGCATGGCATGGCATGGCATGGCAGCGGAAGGAGTTGGAGGAGATGACAAAGCGACTAAAGGCTTCTAGACGAGTGAGTACCGGCTGTGCCCGCGGTGCCCGCTGTGCCCGCGGTGCCCGCTGTGCCCGCCACCTCTCTTCTGAACTGCACCCTGCTCGCTTGTTGTGTCCACGCACATCCACTATCAAGTCAACCCAACAAGATCCTCTTCCGGACTTGACATGACTGACACTGCCTCACCCCACCGCACGCATGGCACCGCATTGCACCGCACGGCACCCACCTCGTATCAGGAGGACGAGAGGCGGGTGTACGGGATGAAGATGATGGAGCTACAGAAGCAGCTGAGCATGGACGACCAGGAGGCCAACGACCTGCAGGTGCAACCCCCGCACCTTGCCATTCCTCCTCCCTGCCATCCCTCCTGCCTGCCATCCGGTGCTCCATCCACCTACCATCCTTGGTTAGTCCGCAGAAGGCTATAAGCCAAAACTGCTTGTTATCAAAGTTTACAAAGGTGCACACACAGGGAAGCACCACACCCTAATATGCTTACCAGTCTCTGCCTTGTGTTCACTGAAACGGGTCCTGTGGTCTCCTCTACGGCTCCCGTCTGTATGCCTTGCTGTGCCGTGCCGTGCCGTGTCGTGCTGTGCTGTGCTGTGCTGTGCTCTGCTCTGCTCTGTGGTGCGGTGCTGTGCTGTGCGGTGGTGAGTGCAGGGAGAGCATGACATGTACCTACGTGCTGCTCTCGAGAACTACAGGAACTGCCTTCTGGCGGCCGACACGTTCAACATCAAAGGGGTAACTGTTGAAGTGGTAACTGTTGAAGTGGTAACTGATGAAGTGGTAACTGTTGAAATGGTAAGTGTTGAAGTGGTAACTGTTGAAGTGGTAACTGTTGAAGTGGTAACTGTTGAAGGGGTAACTGTTGAAGTGGTAACTGTTGAAGTGGTAACTGTTGAAGTGGTAACTGTTGAAGTGGTAACTGATGAAGTGGTAACTGTTGAAATGGTAACGGTCGAAGTGGTAACTGCTGAAGTGGTAACTGCTGAAGTGGTAATTGTTCAAGTGGTAACTGTTGAAGTGGTAACTGTTGAAGTGGTAAGTGTTCAAGTGGTAACTGTTGAAGTGGTAACTGTTGAAGTGGTAACTGTCGAAGTGGGGACTGTTGAAGTGGTAACTGTTGAAGTGGTAACTGCTGAAGTGGTAACTGTCGAAGTGGTAACTGTTGAAGTGGTAACTGCTGAAGTGGTTGGTAACCATCTAGTGGCTACTGTTAACGTCTCAGTGGAGGACGTATCAAAGTGATGATACACATGAGCTGCGAGCAGTAACATTTGGAAGCGATCCGGCTGTGCTGTGTTGCATCAGGGTGGTAACAAGCTGAGAACGTGACAGTAGCTGATTGGTTCGCATGCACCTTTCCACCAATAGCACCTCCCCGTTCCCACCTTGCCTAGCGCTCATTTTTGTTTCCAACCACCACACCCTGCCTCTCCTCCTTTCTTCCTTGCCCACTCGCCCGCACGCCCACAGGTGTTCCGCCTGACAGCGCTCTGGTTCACGCTGCTCAAAAATACCAACGCGGACACAGTGAATGCGGAGATGCTCACAACCATTTTTTAGTCGACTCAAAAGTCAACTTCTTGTCATCTCCCCCCCCCCCCCCGCCTCTATGCCCACAGGTGTTTCGCCTGACAGCGCTCTGGTTCACGCTGCTCAACGATGCCACGGCTGACGCAGTCAATGCGGAGATGCTCACAACCATCCAGACGGTCAGTCATTTCGCTTCTCAGTCACAGATGCATCATTTTTTCGTGGCGAAATTTTCTCTGCGAGCACGTGTATGCGAGTAACCAATGAGACCAAGAATGGCCAACGTCCACCCCCAATAGGGGCTGAAGAACGTGCAGCAGCACATGCTCCCCTGCTTCTAGCAGCACGTGCTCCCCTGCTTCTAGCAGAGCCCTCCCGCATTCCTCCCACTTCAAGCCACCCACGCCCTCCTTTCCCACTCAATTGCCACCCCCTGCCCTGCCTCGCCCTTCCCCTCTCCAGGTGCCGTCATACAAGTTCCTGCCACTCGTCTACCAGATGGCATCACGCATGAGCGAGCGAGACCCCCACGGCTCACCGCCGCTCCACCCTGAGACACCCGACTTCCAGGTGGGTGGTCCGTTCAGCTCAGCTTTCCAAGGCTATCACACTTGCCTGTTCAGATCTGACCAACTCTACCCCAATTGCCCAATTTGACCACTTCAGCTGTTTGTTCGGTCATGTATGTATGCATGAAAACTCCTCCGCTCTCTGCTATTGCTCTCTGCACTCGCTCTCCGTGTTAGACGTTCACAATGCAGTGCATGTCCTCGCTGAATTAGCATGCTCGACTTGCGTGCATGCTGCTGTAAGAAGCTCTTGCACTATGCAGGTGTTTTGAGACGTCTCAAAACACTTCTTCAAACACATGTATGCATGCTGCTGTAAGAGCCTCATGCACAATGCAGGTGTGCTGTGCGGGCAAATGTGCTATTGCGCACCCTCTGCTTTTGCAATGAGTCTACGGGTTACTTACGCGTCAAGCATTGTTTGTGCTGACGGAAGTTGGCAGAAGATCTTCTTCTTGCTGAAGCTCTCCCCCCGTCCATGTTCCCAACCCAACATCATGCCTTACTTTCTCCCCACCCACAGTCAGTGCTGACAACGCTCGTCAAGCGAATGGCGGACGACCATCCCCTGCACACATTGCCTGTGGTACGCACTCAGTCACCCCATGTTCGGCCATGCTTAATAAAAAATCACAGCATTCGAAGCCTGGCTCACACCTACCTACACAGCACCGCAGTGCACACACTATGCCCCAAAAACTCCTCCGACTTGTTTCAACACTCCCCTCCCCTCCCCTCTCTCCCCTCCAACCCAACCCCTACCTACCCACCTCCACCCTCCGCCCTCCCCCTTCTCCGCAGCTCATGGCGCTGGCCAATGGCAACAGGGTGCGTAGCAGCCAGCGCGGGCGCAACCTCTTTGTCGTGGATGAGGACAAGATCCGGGCGGCAAAGGCTGTCCTGGGCGGCATGGCTGAGCGGCACAAGCCCATGCTGGATGAGGTAAGACAAGAAAGTAGGCTCGCTGCCATATCGTCTGATCCGAGTTGACTTTTGAGTCGACTCGAAAGTCAACTCATCGGGTCTGATACAACTGTAAGCGTGCTGGTATTAGTTCCTCCACGGACTGTGTGGTGCCTCCACGGACTGTGTGGTGCCTGCCTCCAAGGACTGTGTGGTGCAGCTGCTTCATGCAGCTACTGGTGAAGAGAAGAGCCAAGCCCACCATTCCTCTTTCATCTTGCTTCCCGCCCATCCTCGCCCTACCTGCCTGTCTGCCAGCCAAACCGCCCCTTCTATCTTCCCCCAGAATTCACCAGCTGATGGATATGTGGATATGGAATGCCGCCCTCATTCGTCCTGTGGTGTGCCCCCACATCTCCCCAATGCGCCATCTTCGCTCAACCCGCTTGCCTGCCAACCAAACCCCCCCTTCCTTTGTATGTCCCCACAGATGCAGCAGCTGATGGATCTGTACATCCGCCTAGCGGAGATGGAGTCCAGCAAGGAGGTGGGTGCGGTGCGGTGGAATGCGGTTACAGAGTGTGAGGAGGTAGATGGTGGTTGTCTATTCCACATGGGATGCTTCGTCCTCAGGGTCTCACCTCGCGCATGCTTGTTGCTGTCACAGTCACTTGCAGTCTGCTGCACTTCTCTCCTTGCTCCACCGGACCACCGCTTTCCACTTTCCTCTCCGTGTTCTTGTCTGTGAATCTGCAATCCACTTTCTTTCCACCATCCCACTCGCCTCAGGATCTCATGCGTTCAAAGCAGCTACCGAGAAACTTCCGCAGCGTCAGGGACCTCTTGCGGGTGAGTGGTGGCCTGGGAAGCAGAATGCGGGTGGTAGTGCTGGGGTATTCTTCTGAACCACAATTGTCATTCACTATTGAGAACTCTCAAACCCGTTGTTGTAGATTTCACTTCTGTACAACAGCATGCCGGCGATGCTGAGTGTGTCACAGCCACGATTGTCATTCACAGCAGGCCTGCTGGCTTTACCTGGCTGAGCATCTTTGTGTTGAAGTTCTGTGAACGAGTTTCAAGGTGTTCATATGATGGGCCGGTCGCCTATGCAGATTAATCTCCCGGCCCTTGCCACCTTCCCTCAGTTGTCAGTTCCCTATGATGGTCAGCTCTCTCTGCCCCCCTGCCACCCACCCCCAGGTGCCGGTGCTCACAGCCTCGGTGCCTGTGGAGTTCTGAGGCTCCTCAAAAACCATCTCCTCCTGTCCTCACCGCACGCACGTGAGGCCCCCTCTCCTCCTGCTGCCTGCCCCCAGGTTCCCGTGCTCACAGCCTCGGTGCCTGTGGACCGAACCTGCTGCTATGCCCCGGGCTCCTTCCCTGCCTTCTGCGGACTCAAGGACAGCATGCGGTGAGTGGGCAACGCGTTACTCTCTATTGACTCTTGGAGATTTTCTTTTTAGATTTCTCAAACGTCGTCACAAGGTGTCAGTATACCTGCTTTTTACATAATACATGCCCCCTTCTTCTCCTTCTTCTTCTTCTTCTTCTTCTTCTTCTTCTTCTTCTTCTTCTTCTTCTTCTTCTTCTTCTTCTTCTTCTTCTTCTTCTTCTTCTTCTTCTTCTTCTTCTTCTTCTTCTTCTTCCTCCTCCTCCTCCTCCTCCTCCTCCTCCTCCTCCTCCTCCTCCTCCTCCTCCTCCTCCTCCTCCTCCTCCTCCTCCTCCTCCTCCTCCTCCTCCTCCTCCTCCTCCTACTCCTCCTCCTCCTCCTCCTCCTCCTCCTCCTCCTCCTCCTCCTCCTCCTCCTCCTCCTCCTCCTCCTCCTCCTCCTCATCCCCCCCTCCCTTTCCCCACGGCCTGTCACACCAAGCTGATACACTGTGAATGCATCCAAGTTGGTGGAGTGTATGTGCCTGTACGGCCATGCCTTTCCAAGCAAGCACGCTGCCCTGCTCTTTCCTCCACGTAACTCCTCCCTGTTCCGGCCCAACTGCTCTGTCCCACCAGGGTGATACACAAAGTGAACGCACTCAAGGTGGTGGAGTGCATGGGGTCGGACGGTCATCCATTCGCACATCAAGCACGCTGATTTCCTTCTCCTCCTTCCCCCCGAACTTCCCCCTTACGGTACGCCCCTTCACCAGGGTGATGCACGGGGTGAACGCACCAAAGGTGGTGGAGTGTGTGGGATCGGACGGCCGTGTGTACAAGCAGCTCGCCAAGTCGGGCAACGATGACCTGCGCCAGGACGCTGTGAGTGGCATGGCATGGCAAGGCAGCATCCTCTGAGCCTGTCAAATGGGGTTTGTGGGGTCGGCCGGGACGGGAGTGCATGGGGTCGGCCGGGAGTGCATGGGGTCGGCCGGGAGTGCATGGGGTCGGACGGCCGTGTGTACAAGCAGCTCGCCAAGTCGGGCAATGATGACCTGCGCCAGGACGCTGTGGGTCGCTTCTTTCAGCCCTCCCTCTGATTATGTTCTTTGCTCCTCACCCGCCCTCTCTCCCCTCTGATTATGTTCTTTGCTCCTCACCCGCCCTCTCTCCCCTCTGATTATGTTCTTTGCTCCTCACCCGCCCTCTCTCCCCTCTGATTATGTTCTTTGCTCCTCACCCGCCCTCTCTCCCCTCTGATTATGTTCTTTGCTCCTCACCCGCCCTCTCTCCCCTCTGATTATGTTCTTTGCTCCTCACCCGCCCTCTCTCCCCTCTGATTATGTTCTTTGCTCCTCACCCGCCCTCTCTCCCCTCTGATTATGTTCTTTGCTCCTCACCCGCCCTCTCTCCCCTCTGATTATGTTCTTTGCTCCTCACCCGCCCTCTCTCCCCTCTGATTATGTTCTTTGCTCCTCACCCGCCCTCTCTCCCCTCTGATTATGTTCTTTGCTCCTCACCCGCCCTCTCTCCCCTCTGATTATGTTCTTTGCTCCTCACCCGCCCTCTCTCCCCTCTGATAATGTTCTTTGCTCCTCACCCGCCCTCTCTCCCCTCTGATTATGTTCTTTGCTCCTCACCCGCCCTCTCTCCCCTCTGATTATGTTCTTTGCTCCTCACCCGCCCTCTCTCCCCTCTGATTATGTTCTTTGCTCCTCACCCGCCCTCTCTCCCCTCTGATTATGTTCTTTGCTCCTCACCCGCCCTCTCTCCCCTCTGATTATGTTCTTTGCTCCTCACCCGCCCTCTCTCCCCTCTGATTATGTTCTTTGCTCCTCACCCGCCCTCTCTCCCCACTGCCACGGCGCCCCACCAGTGATGGAGCAGCTGTTGCGGCTCGTGAACTCTTTGACTTCCCCACTCTCCTCGCCCCCCCTCTCTCCCCACTTCCCATCTCTCCCCACCTCTTCCCACCGCGCCCCACCAGGTGATGGAGCAGCTGTTCGGGCTGGTAAACTCTCTTATTCACCCCAATCTCCCCAACCTCTTCTCTCCCCACCACTCCCCCCCTCTCCCCACCTCTCCCCACCTCTCCCCACCTCTCCCCACCGCGCCACACCAGGTGATGGAGCAGCTGTTCGGGCTGGTGAACTCGCTGCTGCAAGCCCACGAGGGGGCCACCAGGCGCCACCTCGCCATCCGCACCTACAAGGTGCGTCCCTGCAGGAGGCACATGGGTCGCATGGGTCGCATGGGTCGCATGGGTCGCATGGGTCGCACGGGTCGCACGGGTCGCACGGGTCGCACGGGTCGCACGGGTGGCATGGGTCACGTCAGCAACAACAGACTGCATGCCTCTCTCCCATTCGACTCCAATCACCACCTCTGCCATTCGCCCACCTCCTCTTACCACCTCGCACCTATCATTCCTGCTCCTGCCCCAACTGCATCCCCGCTCTCGCCGCCCCTCTCTCCCCTCCCTGCATGTCCTCTCAGGTGGTGCCATTCACTCCCAGCGCAGGTGACTTTTTATTCGACTGAAACTGACACCTTCCTTTGCCTCCCTCTGCTCCTCCCCCCTCCCCCTCCCGCCCCCCCATGGCCTGTCAGGTGGTACCATTCACTCCCAGTGCAGGACTGCTCGAGTGGGTGGATGGCACCCTGCCGCTTGGGGAGTACCTTCTAGGAAGGTGCGTGGACGAGAGCCGAGGCTAAAGCACATGCAGCAGGGGTGGCGGCGGGCTGGCTTGTGTGCACACGTGCAGGCACTCACCCCGAGGTTGTGGTATTGCATGCACAACAAAGTGTTCCCACTTCGCATTTAAGACTTCTCAAAGACCACTTGGCATGTACGCCCATCCATCCACGCGTGAACAAGATGCCTTGCAGCGCACATCGCTCCGTATCAACCCTACAACCGCCTTCTGCTTTTCACCCTCTGTCCGCCTCCCCAACTCCCTCCCGCCTTTCCCCAACACCACCTGCTGACCCTTCTTCCCCACACTCTCTGCCCCATGGCCCGCTCGCATTTCCTCTCCTCTCATCGGCCCCATCCTCTCATCGGCCCCATCCTCTCTCCCCACCCCACCCACGCGGCCAGTACTCGCAAGGGGGGGGCGCACGCACGCTACGGGGGCTCTGATTGGCCATTCATGACGTGCCGTGAAGTGATGGCGCGGTGGCATGACATGCGTACCATGCACTGTCACGTACCATGGAGGTGGCATGGCATGCGTACCATGCACTGTCACGTACCATGGAGGTGGCATGACATGCGTACCATGCCACCTCCATGGCATGACAGTGCATGCACGAGGCTGCATGCCAGCCATTCAATTGCACTGTGCATAGCACATGGCTCGCCTTACCCTGCCCATTTCCACATGAGCCTTTGAACCCTCAGCTCTCACCCTTGTGAAGCTCCTCACCCTTGTGGAACAAGGTACCCCTGCAATGAAGCATGCAACCATTGTTCACCCCCGGACCTGCCTCGTGTGCATCACACCAGGTGGGGTATGTGGAGGGGCTGGGCGACTGGCACGCGATGAGCATTCTGCAGCACCTCACCCGGTTCGTGAACGTGAAGCGTCTAACCCTTGTGCCCCAAACTGTCCTGCCTCGTGTGCTCTATGGCAGGTGGGGTACGTGGTGGGGCTGGGGGACCGGCATGCGATGAACATTCTGCTGGACGAGCGATCAGCAGAGGTGGTGCACATCGACCTGGGGATTGCGTTCGAGCAGGGGCTCATGCTCAAGACGCCCGAGAAGGTGCGTGTGTGGGGGGTGTGTGCGCATGAAAGCAGATCCTCTGACATAATTCCAGTGTGGGTGGGTGGGTGTAAGTGTAGTGTGTGCATGGAGGTTGATAGGAAGGCTAGGTGCAGTGACCATGGGTGGTGAAGTGAGCAGAGGTGGTGCACAATGCGCATGGACCGCTGCCTCCGTTCAGGAAGGGCCGCATGCTCAAGTCGCGCGATAATGCTCGGTGGCTGCTTTCATCAGTAGTGTTCATTCAGGGAGATTTATTGGGGCTTGTGAAGTGCGTGCAAGCATATACAAAGGTGGGGTGTGTTTCAAAAGTAAAGTGGCAAGTTCAAGTGGAAGGTGAAGGCGAATCATTCATGAGTCGGAGTGATGATTGACCTATACTGCATATTTGTTGTTCTGCTGGACACTCAATGAACAGCCGTGGTGCACATCCAGCAGCACTGGTAGCGCGAGGAGCCCATAATCGTGCGCCACGTGATTCCAACCTCCGTGAAGGACGGGCTCAGCTGGGCGCCGTTCGTCATGTGCCGTGCGTTCTACGAGGCCGAGGAGGGGTGCAGCGAGCAGGAGGAGCTCACAGTGGTGGCCACAGACTGCGAGGACGGCACTGAGGTGGAGCTGGGCACTCACCAATTCTTTGGGGTGAGGTTCATGTACACCACTCTCGCACTCCCGTGTGCTCCACACCTTCATGCCAGGTGCCCTTCCGCCTCACGCGGGACATCATAGACGGCATGGGCGTGAGCGGCGTGGAGGGGGTGTTTCGAAGCTGCTGTGAGACGGTGCTGGCGGTGATGAGGGAGAACAAGGAGGCACTGCTGACAATCATCGAGGTGAGTGGAGTGGAGTGAGTGATGCGATGCAGGACCCTGATCCGTAGCCAGTGCGTCCATTCTAGTCAGTGCTGCTGTCACAGTAGCCAGTGCGTCCATTCTAGTCAGTGCTGCTGTCACAGTAGCCAGTGCGTCCATTCTAGTCAGTGCTGCTGTCACAGTAGCCAGTGCGTCCATTCTAGTCAGTGCTGCTGTCACAGTAGCCAGTGCACCCATTCTAGTCAGTGCTGCTGTCACAGTAGCCAGTGCGTCCATTCTAGTCAGTGCTGCTGTCACAGTAGCCAGTGCGTCCATTCTAGTCAGTGCTGCTGTCACAATAGCAAGTGCGTCCATTCTAGTCAGTGCTGCTGTCACAGTAGCAAGTGCACCCATGCTAGTCAGCGCTGCTGTCACAATAGCAAGTGCACCCATGCTAGTCAGTGCTGCTGTCACAGTAGCAAGTGCACCCACGCTAGGCAGTGCTGCTGCCACAATAGCAAGTGCACCCATTCTAGTCAGTGCTGCTGTCACAATAGCAAGTGCACCCATTCTAGTCAGTGCTGCTGTCACAATAGCAAGTGCACCCATTCTAGTCAGTGCTGCTGTCACAATAGCAAGTGCACCCATTCTAGTCAGTGCTGCTGTCACAATAGCAAGTGCACCCATGCTAGTCAGTGCTGCTGTCACAATAGCAAGTGCACCCATTCTAGTCAGTGCTGCTGTCACAATAGCAAGTGCACCCATTCTAGTCAGTGCTGCTGTCACAATAGCAAGTGCACCCATTCTAGTCAGTGCTGCTGTCACAATAGCAAGTGCACCCATTCTAGTCAGTGCTGCTGTCACAATAGCAAGTGCACCCATGCTAGTCAGCGCTGCTGTCACAATAGCAAGTGCACCCATGCTAGTCAGTGCTGCTGTCACAGTAGCAAGTGCACCCACGCTAGGCAGTGCTGCTGCCACAATAGCAAGTGCACCCACGCTAGTCAGTGCTGCTGTCACAAGTGCACCCACGCTAGTCAGTGCTGCTGTCACAAGTGCACCCACGCTAGTCAGTGCTGCTGTCACAATAGCAAGTGCACCCATGCTAGTCAGCGCTGCTGTCACAATAGCAAGTGCACCCACGCTAGTCAGTGCTGCTGTCACAGTAGCAAGTGCACCCACGCTAGTCAGTGCTGCTGTCACAGTAGCAAGTGCACCCACGCTAGGCAGTGCTGCTGCCACAATAGCAAGTGCACCCACGCTAGTCAGTGCTGCTGTCACAATAGCAAGTGCACCCACGCTAGTCAGTGCTGCTGTCACAGTAGCAAGTGCACCCACGCTAGGCAGTGCTGCTGCCACAATAGCAAGTGCACCCACGCTAGTCAGTGCTGCTGTCACAATAGCAAGTGCACCCACGCTAGTCAGTGCTGCTGTCACAAGTGCACCCACGCTAGTCAGTGCTGCTGTCACAAGTGCACCCACGCTAGTCAATGCTGCTGTCACAATAGCAAGTGCACCCACGCTAGTCAGCGCTGCTGTGAGACGGTGCTGGCAGTGATGCAAGAGAATAAGGAGGCGCTGCTGACCATCATTGAGGCTAGTGGTGCCAATAGCTACCAGACCATGTTGATTTATGCAGGATATGGTACAAGAGGTATTCAAAGAATGTGTCCCCCTGCCATCCTGCATGCCACCGCCGCCCTGTGTGCCCCTGTAGGTGTTCATCTATGATCCTCTTTACAAGTGGGCCCTCTCTCCGCTTAAGGCGCTGCATCGACAGAAGGTGCCTTCTTGCCCTCATCTTACACACTCATTGCACCTTTCCATTACACTCAAGTGAGTATCATTCCACTGATCCCTTTTTCTTTCACCAGTTTCCACTTGCTCGTGCATTGTTACCAAGCTACCATGCCACCTGTCTCAATCTCTGTCTGGTAATTTCTCAATCCGTGGCACTGCACGCGTGCCACTGCATGTGTGGCTCTGCACTCGTGGCACTGCATGTGTGGCTCTGCACTCGTGGCATTGCACGCATGGCACTGTTTGTGTGTCACTGCACGGGTCCCCAGATGGAGGAGAGTGAGGAGGCGATGGAGGAGGAGGGGACGGAGGAGGAGAGCGGGGCAGCGATGGAGGGCAACGAGGAGGCCACGAGGGCACTGCTGCGAGTCAAGCAAAAGCTCGACGGCTTTGAGGACGGCGAGATGCGCAGCCTGGCTGGGCAGGTGAGGCAGCAGGGTGGGGCAGATGGTGCAGTGGGCAGGTAATGCAAGTAGCATATGTAGCTGTCGGCAAGGAGGCCACGAGAGCGCTGCTGCGAGTCAAGCAGAAGCTGGACGGCTTTGAGGACGGCGAGATGCGTAGCCTGGCCAGGCAGGTGGGGCAGCATGGTAGCGTGTAGGTAGTGCAGGGGGCATATGTAACTGTTGGTGAGATGCGTAGCCTGGCTGGCCAGGTAGGTGGGGCAGCATGGCCGGGCAGGTGGGCAAGCATGACCAGGCAGGTGGGGAAGCATTGTAGAAAAGGTTGGGCAGCTAGCATATATAACTGTCGAAATGGGTGCATCTATGTTCCTAAGTATAGCATTGTTCACCTCTTCTCATTGCCATCAGCCTGCATCTCTGTTTGGCCCCTCACCCCTGCTCCCCGTCATTGCAATGCATCTCTCCACTTCTTTGCTGCACTGCTTTGCTCCATGCCTTGCTCTACGGCTACCAGGTGCAGCAGCTGATCAAGGACGCACAGGACCCCGACCGCCTTGCCGTCATGTTTCCAGGATGGGGAGCTTGGCTGTAGCATGGCTTTCTGTAACTTGGCTAAAGCATGCCGTACTAGTATCATTGCTGCAGCATGCTTGCAGCATGGCTGTAGCACAGCCGCACCATGTTGGTAGCATGGCAAGAGCATACTTGTATCATTGTTGCAGCATGTTGGTAGCATGGCTAGATCATACCTGTATAATAGTTCTAAGCAATTATAGCTAAGCATATACGAGAGGGCTTGCCTGTGATGCATTTATCTCATGAAGGAGCTATACCTGTAACGGGTGTAATGCCCACCGGTCCGGAGCCACGCCTCCACGACGAGCCTAGCTTGGACATGACCCTTGTTCGCAACAAGTCCACAATACCCTTAGGGCAGTCGGCCAGACCTAACTTGGAAACACCACAGCCCCTAGGGCATGGCAAACCCAGAAACCAACATCCTAGGGAACCTTACACTTGGCATCTTGGTTGCATGCTTGTTCATGGCAAGGAGATGTCTCTCACTACAGACTACAGAGTGTGGCAGCACGTAGGAGCTTGGCCTTCACTCTCGGTGTTGTTACTACGTACATATCACGGATTTGGAGTCAAAATTGTATTACGATATTGAACAAAGAAAATGTACAGGGTGACACATCAACTACGGTATTTAAGCACCGGGGGTGAAGTTGGTGGCATAGGCCCACGCGTTGTTGACGGTGGGGTCAGCCAGGTGGTCGGACAGGTTCTCCAGGGGGCCCTTGCCGGTGACGATGGCCTGCACGAAGAAGCCGAACATCGACACCATAGCGAGGCGGCCGTTCTTCAGCTCCTTCACCTTCAGCTCCGCAAGCGCATCGGGGTCGTCGGCCAGACCCAGGGGGTCGAAGGCACCGCCGGGGTACAGGGGGTCCTCAACCTCTTGGAAGCCCTCAAGGCCACCCACGCGGTAGCTCTCGACGGCACCCATGAGGATGACCTGGGTGGCCCAGATGGCCAGGATGGACTGCGCGTGGATCAGACTGGGGTTGCCCAGGTAGTCCAAGCCACCCTCGGAGAAGATCTGCGCGCCGGCCTTGAACCACACGGCCTCGCCGAAGTTCACGCCGTTGCCGGCCAGCAGCTCGGGGGTCAGGCAGCCGAGCGCGCCGAGCAGAGCCCACCGAGCGTGGATCACCTGAAGATTTAGAAACAGGTGAAGGAAGAGAAAAAAATCGTCAGAACCTTAAAACAGCGAGCGTTGCAAAGCAGCAAAGATGATAGCATTTGGTAATTTCTGTAAACTAACAGGGTGAAACATCTCATGGTTGGTCCTTTTAGCGATGAATATTCTTGCGTACGTAATGTACCTCCTTTGTGTCGTTAGCAAATCTGGTAGCCTTACCTCAAGCTCGCGGTTCTTGGCAAAGGTCTCGGGATCAGCGGACAGACCCGCCGTGTCCCAGCCGTAGTCGCCGGGGTACTCGCCGGTGAGGTACGACGGGGGGGAAGAGAACGGGCCCAGGAACAGGTTGCGGTCGGGGCCGTAGAAGGCGCTGCTGGAAGCCGCCTTGGCGGTCTTCCTCATCGTCACGCGGGCCTCGACATTGTTCACCTTGGCGGCGAGCTCAGCGCTCTGGCCGACGAAGGTGGAGGGGAGCACAGCAGCGTTAGCGAGAGCAGCCATGCTGTATGTCTGGGCTGGGAAGAGAAGCTGTTTTGAGTGTTGAAAGTAAACTGGAATTGAGCTTCTGCTTCTGCTGAGAAACGATTCTCTAGCGACTTATGAACCAAAATTGCGTGTGGGGGAACTGGTTGGATGGAGTCATGGATGGGTCTAGGAGCGTTCTGATTGGATGGTATCTGAGTACGAACCGCGCTTGACGCCTGAAGATCTCCTTTCCTCAGCACCCAAAATCCACGCAATCAGGGCTCAACCAATTGCGAGGACCCTGGTTGGTTACCATCTGATGTTGTTTTGTGGTGTCGGTGTGGTTGCACCACGGTCGTTTCGCTAGGCTGTGCGATGAAAGTCTGTGGAACAAAGTACGTATTTCGCCGATGCTGCGAAGCAAAGCGAACGCCAAGGAAACACGTTTCCATGAAATGTGGTGATTTCGTTTTTCCTGTGACGTGGCGTGCAATCTAATTGGTTGAGCATGCTGCTCGATTTCCCATCGTCGCTTTCATCACCTCACCCAAAATGGAGGAAGTGTGGACCACACGACGATTGTGGGGTCAGATCAAACAGAAGTGGATGTTTTCTGGGGTGTGTGTGGGTTGGGCACGGTTTATACTACATCACTCAGCTTCCCTAGAGGTGTGCCTATGGCGGGTGTATCGGTGGTGGGATGGGGCGTGGTGGGATGAGGCAAGCTGGGGTGGGGTGTGCTGGGATGAGGGAGCCGAGTGACATTGCAGTTGGTTCTGTGATTGTATCGTTTAGTCAAGAAGTCGGAGCCCGAACAATTTCCAACGTGCACAGACAAGTCGCCATGACAGCACTTATCTCGTCAGAGGTGGGCAACTGAGCACACATCACATTAGTTTTGACTTGCGGAAGGCTTGGTGCGTTGCTGTTCGTTACTTTGCGGTGCATGGTGGGCAGTCGTGAACTATGTAGTTTCCGCACTTGCGAACAGTCAACCACAAACTCAGCGATAAGCTAAGCGAACTGGTGCAGTCTGGAAACCTATGTCTCGTCTCCTGAGGTTAATCTTCTCACTTGTGAGCTTGGCGACATCTCCAATTTCAGTCTGAGAAACCTTATTTGCTCTTCACTGACTCGCTTTGCGGTACCAGACAAACAAAAAAACGATATTGCGAAGTCATCATCTTGACTTGTAACTCTTCCAATAGAGCATAATTCGCGTTGGAGGAAGTAACATGCCACCCGCTACTGTCAACAACGCGTCTATGACAATACGGTATCTTGTTTCAGACTCCCATGAGTAAATGGTGCAAAACAAGAAGTAATTCCTAGTTGCATAGAGAAGTTACGTTTTATTAATGAAAGTGAAAAAATGTACAGGGATTATTTATCTAAGCACCGGGGGTGAAGTTGGTGGCATAGGCCCACGCGTTGTTGACGGTGGGGTCAGCCAGGTGGTCGGACAGGTTCTCCAGGGGGCCCTTGCCGGTGACGATGGCCTGCACGAAGAAGCCGAACATCGACACCATAGCGAGGCGGCCGTTCTTCAGCTCCTTCACCTTCAGCTCCGCAAGAGCGTCGGGGTCGTCGGCCAGACCCAGGGGGTCGAAGGCACCGCCGGGGTACAGGGGGTCCTCAACCTCCTGGAAACCCGCAAGGCCACCCACGCGGTAGCTCTCGACGGCACCCATGAGGATGACCTGGGTGGCCCAGATGGCCAGGATGGACTGCGCGTGGATCAGGCTGGGGTTGCCCAGGTAGTCAAGGCCACCCTCGGAGAAGATCTGCGCGCCGGCCTTGAACCACACGGCCTCGCCGAAGTTCACGCCGTTGCCGGCCAGCAGCTCGGGGGTCAGGCAGCCGAGCGCGCCGAGCAGAGCCCAGCGAGCGTGGATCACCTGATAGGGTGACGAGACGAAAGAAAAACAGGAGATGGTGACGGTAGGAATGAAGAGATCCCGAGTACGCTAATGCAGGCCGCACAACGGCCTGGACCAATTCAGTGGACTGATGCTAGAAAGCGTCATCATCAATTACAGAAAAAACTCGGGTTCGAGAAGCAGGGTTGGTGACGATACGAGCAGAACAAAATGAAAGATTGCTATTGCAAGCCGCAAAAACGAAATGAACGATTCTGGAAAACGTTCTTATCTCCCTAAAGGGAAATCGGGGTCAAATGTTTAGTTATGAATCTGGTGTGGCTTACCTCCAGCTCGCGGTTCTTGGCGAAGGTCTCGGGATCAGCGGACAGACCCGCCGTGTCCCAGCCGTAGTCGCCGGGGTACTCGCCGGTGAGGTACGACGGGGGGGAGGAGAAGGGGCCCAGGAACAGGTTGCGGTCGGGGCCGTAGAAGGCGCTGCTGGAAGCCGCCTTGGCGGTCTTCCTCATCGTCACGCGGGCCTCGACATTGTTCACCTTGGCGGCGAGCTCAGCGCTCTGCCCGACGAAGGTGGACGGGAGCACAGCAGCGTTAGCGAGAGCAGCCATTGTGGATGTGTAAAAGCTGCTGTAAGAATTCCTGGATGAGTGTGGCTTTACTGCTGAACTGATCGTGACTGGCCGCTCTTTTGAACTTGGGCTTGGTCTTGGTTGGGCTTGGGCTTGGGTTGGGTGGGGGGAGAGGTGTTGTTGGATGCTGACTCATCGCGGACCGCGTGCATTCCAGGTGCCCGACGCTCCGAAATCTCCTCACCCGCTCGCCCGAAATCCAGGCAATCTGATCTCGACCAATAGCGATGGGACTTCTTTTTCCATATTTCTGGTGGGTTGTGCTCAACTGGTGGTGTGCCTGGCGACAGTGTGTGCGAGGTGTTGAATTTGTCTTCGCGAATTTGAATTTGGGCCAAGCAGCTCAGCCAGCCAGATTTTGGTGTGAGCGATGTGCAATCTGATTGGGCAACGATGATCTAGTGGTCGTTTAAATCAAACACACCCGGAACCACTCTCAAACGTTCCAAACCATCATCTCGTCAAGCTCCAGGAGACCCGAATGTCTAGTTACGGTCTGGGGGGTTGTGTGAGCATCTAGACAGGTGGACAAATCCTAGTCAATGTTTCTAAACTAAAAGGAATTTTCTCGCTATTCCTTACTGCGATCGTCAACATCGCGGCCCTGGTGGAGACCGATTCGAGTATTTTTGGGAGGAGCTAAAAACGGAGCAATTTCAAATCACTTCATTGAGCTCCAAAACTACATCCTTATAAATGCCAATTTGAAAAGACCCGGATCTTATAAAATATATACCATTTACTTATATCCCCCAGCTTTTTGAGGACAGAGGAGTGGCCTGAGGCGAGGAGTACGTGAAGTCAAAGCGCTGAAGGACCTGCTGCACCATGTGTGACCGAGTCAAGGTAATGGTGCGCCGTGCTCTGTCCCGGGTGATCTGCAAGCCAAGATAGCTGCGCAGTTCACCCGGGT